ACAGGGAAGAGCTCACAAACCTGGGCAGATGTCTCCAGACTCTCCCTCCTCGGGTGTGCTTCATTAACCCTGGCCTCAACTGGGCCAAGTCCTCCATAAAGAGGAAGCCAGAAGGCAGAAGAAAATCACCAGCATTCTCTCCCTCAAATTTCTGAGAAGGTAATTACCTCAGGAGAGCCAGACATCCGAACAGGTTTCACCTCGAGAGAAGATGAGATTATCTAAGCCTGAGAATCCAAAGTGTCGTAGGAGGGCAAGCCCACCAGCCCTGGAGCCATCTGCTCTGCTGGGTGACACGTGAAGTGATGCTCTGCAGGCCCTCCCCTCCAGCAGTGTGGCTTATGCCAGGTGTGGGGGACAGCCACCACCTGGGTCAGGGACAGTGTCTCGGTAATGGTTCTGCAAGACACCCAGTGCAAAGGTAACTGGGACTATTGAAGGGACATGGTGGTATTTTCACAACTCATTCTTACTCCCTGGTACAGTGTTCTCAAGTTATTTAGTCTACAACCCTTGTTTCCTAAAAAGGTACGGAGAAAAAATGTGAAAAATGAGAAAATTTGGATCAAACTCATTCTAACAAGGAAAATCTGACCAACCAGAGATGACCATTTTACAGTAGAAGCTTGGAGAGCAATGGTGCTTCAGAGCATGCATGAGGCTCTGGCTGGAAAATGAGGGTATGAGGAGAGGATGTCAAAATGCCCCGACCAAGGCTCTCATCCTGGAATTTGACTCATGCAAATGTATCCCATTGCCCCTTTGCTTCCTGAATAGCCCAGATCAGACTGCAGCATCCCCAGGTGTCTAAATATAAACTAATAGCAAACCAATTGGTCTGACATCCTAAGGTGCCACAGCCCCATTTTGGTAGGAACTGTGACCAGATGTATCTGGAGGATCTGCTGACCAGGTCCCCCAAACTGGCACATGGTGTGACAATGCTGCCATGTAGCCCCTGGTGTGCAGAATGGGCTTGCACTGACATTACAGGCTCAGGGAAAACCTTGCAAGATACAAATCACCTCTGCAATGCTGTCAGAATGACTCATTTCTAACTGTAACAGCTACTGGCAGGGCTGAGTGTGCAGGGGATCACCTCTGTCCGTGTCCCAACCTGCACTTCCACTGAATGCTGACTGCTCTCTCTGCTGGCCAACCAAGAAATGGGATTTTCTCAAGACAGACCTGGTCACATACAAGTTTGCAAAAATGGACTGACCAAACAAATGTGTGCCAGAAAAAAGTGTCTATTTTTCTAAAGCCACAAACAGCTGAATAAAAGAGGTTATTTATCAAATAAACTATATTCTTAGGTAAAAAGCAGCAGCAAAGAAGAGAAAAAGGCAGGAGAGATGTGGGTGTTCCATCTTGTGCTACAGCTTACTGCTGCAATAGCCTGGTGGAGATGGCAGGAACCACGTGAGATGGGATATGCCCCCATTATAAGGCTATCAGAGTCTTGCTCTATGTCTAGAAATAAAAGGCTTGGAGAATTTCCAGTGATCAACAGAATACGGAAGTTGGGAGACTGGGGCATTGTGAGTAACTGACCTGAGAGCAGGAAGGTTTCTCCTTGCTTTCTTCAATGCCTTACTCAAGAATCACCTAGTCCAAAAAGCCACCACTTAGGGGCTCTAAGCTCATAAAAACTGTAATAACTGGACAAAAGAAAGACATCACTATGGAAAAGGAAAGTTAAAGAAGGCTGAAAGGGAATGGGAAGCTAAGATGCACTAGGAAATCACTGTACTAAAAGTGCATAAGCAGCACATCTTTGTCCTGGACACAGTGGAAAAGCATCTGGACACAGTAAAGATTAAAAGTTTCAAGGGCTGAGGACAGCATGGAGTATAAGTGAGCACGGGCTGATCCTGCTGTGCCAGTGCACCCCAGACAATCAGCCATCAATGCTTTCCTGTTATTTCCTATCTCCCAGTGGCATGAGCCCAGTTCCCCTGCATCAAGGAGTGAGGCTCTCCCTCAGCACCACTTCAGCTGGGTGGCTGCACTGGGCAGCCTGGAGCTGCACCTGAGGACCAGCAGTTGTGCTCTGCCATACAAGGTACCCCACACATGTACCTATGACTGTGGTATGAACTTGTTTGAATCTTAGGTGTTTAAATACATCACTGGTCACAGAGCTGACAATTAGTGATGTCTGGCAATGAAGTTGCCTCCTTGCCATCAGATTTACAGTGGAAGTTCTTTGTTTGTACTTCTGCAGGTACATGGCAAAGTGGCTCTCAGCAAACTCTGCTTTTTTGTCTGCAACTTACTGTGGTGTTCAGTGGGGAAACCACACTGGTGGGGCCACCTCATGCATCAAATACGGGTTGACAGCAAAGGTTAAACACAGAAGTTCCACAAAATAATCAGGATTAGGGTTACCTGGAGAAAGGATCAAAGAGGGGAGGGAAGTCACTTAGTCCCTCTGATGGGACACTAGGACTAATCAGCACCAGAAAAGAGCTGGTTTCTGATTATAGTGAAGTGAGTGGCTTATCTTTGTATTTCAGGCTTTAAATGAGCACTTGAAATATTCCTGAATTCTTTTCTTCTGATACCATGCCCACCTGAAAGGTGATGAAATGCCCCCAGACTTGATGGGCTAGAGCACCACACTATCACACATGAGACAGCATCACACTATCACCATCCTCAGCACTGAATTTAAATAATTCTCTGGCTTCTACTGATCCCTCTGGAATGACTTTTTACAGTGCCACAAAAAGGTGATTAATTATAGAAAAGCTATAATCACACAAACCCAGCCTGCTACATGTAAAATTAAGTACATGTAAAATTCAGAATGGTAACAGAGAAAAAGTACTAACTCTTCACATTGATTTTTTTTGAACTTGCATAATCTGAATAATGGTTGTGACTGTTCTTCTTTACATCCTTGATGCCAAAACTAGATTAAACCAGGCAGACTCTTGTGTCTTGACCCCCACTAAAGGGAGTATGTCACAGATTTCATGCACCGGAAACCAGCTGAGGTTAAATCAAATGACAGACTCAAGTAGGGAGGGATGAGAACCTCATGTTCTGTAACAACTTAAAGGGCCTGTTGAGCAATGTACAGGAACTCTGTGTCCATGAGACTCAACCACTTGAAGGGTAAGAAGTGCTTAACACAACCCATTCATCTGAAATGTGGATCTTTGCATTCTCACTTCTGCTGTGTCTAACCTGGTGCACTGGCAGCTACATGGAGCTGAGCAGGGAAACTGCTGCTGCTCTGCACTGTCACAACCAGCCTTAACATCACTCAGAACCAGTAAGTACCAACATCTTCATTCCATCAGAGTGTGCCTGCTACATGAGCACCAAGCAGAAAGAGCTGCTATTTCATCCAGACATGGATACATCAGACCTTTTACACAGGAGTATCTGGTTAAATCCACCTGTCCCCTCTCGGGAGGGTTTGTGCACCAGTTTATCAGGAATCACGAGTTTCATCTCAGTTTCTTCTGGTGATGCTGATTCAAAGTGACAGAAACTGCAAATCAACTGTCCCACTCCAGAGGGGAGTGTTCCAACAACTGGTCTCCTAACTAGTCCATGCTGGCATTCAAGGAATATGTGTAGCAGCAGCCTATCTGCACAGGCAACCAACTGTGCTGCATCTGCCAATAGAAAGTTTAAGTTCCTATATTCAGCAGCCCTTATGATATGGAAAGAGACGTCTGGATGAAGTGAATCAATCCCACAGTTGTTCAATTGGCTGTCTTTGCTGTTAAAATGCTGAGTAAATTCTCTAGAACTGATGAGAGATACAGTAATATACTACATATTAAACAATAAACCTAGGTAACACATACAACATTCTTACAAGTTTTGATATTTTTCTTTACTTACAAATAAAATGATCCCTTAATACTTAAAATCTTTACTGTGCTTTTCTTCGCAGGAATGAAGTGTATTAGAAATGTTTATTGTAGTCTCAATCCCAGTAGGTTTCCAAGGCCTGACTGGCTAAAACCCTGAGCAGCCTGGTCTGATCTGATTTGAACAGGAGATTGGACCAGCGACTGCGGGACCTTTCTAACCTGTGTTCTACCAGTCTGTGTGTCTATGATGTGCTAGGGTATAAAGTAGAACAGGTCCAAAGCTGAGAATTAAAGACCTCATTTTAGCCTGTTTCTGCAATTCCATATTTAGGGCACTCTAAATATGCCCTAAAAATGGAAGTGTGAGACTGTTCCAAACCCTTAGTCAAGCATGATGGCTTTCCTGGGATGCCCTGCAGGGATGCAGCTTGGTATCACCTCTAAGGATATTCAGCAGCAGACAACCCTGAACAGGGAGGCTTTCTCACTCCCTTCCCCCCAGCCATATGGCCCTGCTGATTTCTTTACACAAGCAAGAGCAGCTGTCTGACCTCATGGCAGGCCAGCTCAAGGAACCATGAAGCAGAAAAAAAAACCTCAACAAAACTTTCTGCTTTCTGTCAGAATTACCCTGAATTACCACAAGGCCAAACAAACACCAAGTGCAAGAAGATGGGAACAGGTGAGAATGCACAGCCAGCATGAGAAGCAAAAATAGCAACTGCATCTTCCAGGAACTGTCAGCCCTGGAACATTTCACTGAAATGGCAGGATTTAATCCTCCCCAGTACAGCACAGAAACCTGGATACTTACCTGGTTTTACATAGTGCATGGGAGTTCACAACTGAACTACTAAGTCAATTTTCCCCTTACACTTCTGTTAAATAAGGACTAATCAGTAAAGCTAGTGAGGAAACTGAGATGCACTGTCTGTTTACATGTAACTGACAGCAATCACAACATGAAGAAAACCATGTCTCACTTTTAAAATGTGACAACACATAGCAATTTAGGCTACAATATTCTGTATTTTATGCACATTTTTTCCAAAAGCTTTTTTGCAGCTATTTTCAGTTTCTGCACAGTAGCTGGAATAGCAATATGCTTACGGTGGCATGTCTGCCTTTGATTTGACATTAAAAACCAAGTGCATTCTTACATAATTAAAATAAAGGGTTTTATTCAGTTCATTATATTTCTGTCTAAATGTTCTAGTTTTCCAAATACTTATTCCATGTACAGAAATTTAAACTATAAATACAGTGTAAGAGCAGCAAAACAAAACACATCCACTCAGAACCCGAAGTTTGTACACTTTACTGTCCTTCCAAGGAATAATCAGTCTGACTGCCAAATCGATGCACAAAGTCTGAAAGGGAGAACACTGAGCCCCATCCCACTTCGGGATTCATACTGATGAAATCATCCAAGTTCATCTTGGAATCTAAAAAAGGACCAGAAAAGGGAAATATTTCAGTTCCTGATGCAGGTTCTGTAGCACAGGTATACATCTTTCAAGAAAACATTCCAAACCCTTCTTCAGTAGTTCAGTTCACTCCAGCAAGATTCTGCAAATTGTACAGTGGTACACAAACATCCATTTCCAGTCTCTGAAACATTGCTTTTGCCTCCATTCCCTTCTCTGCCCAAGGCAATAATCACATTACAGGATCAGTAAGCAAGTCACTAGAAACTAGCATGTGTGGGTAAGATTTTTCCCTACAACAGCAGCTAGAAGGGTCGAGTAGTGTCAGAGAACTGGAGTGCAAATAACAACCAACACAGGGAAGTGCAATGCCATCTTCCTGCATTCACACAAATGGGTTGACATAACAGCAGGGGAGATATTATTCACCCATTTAAGCTCTGAACCAAAGTCAATGGAGTCAACTTTTGCACTGACCACAGAGGAAAGGGCTCACAGCAGCAGTCAGAACTGCAAGGTGCTCATTGTCTCTCAGAAGTGATTAGCCCCTTGGCAAACCTGCAGTTTGTTACTCTCCAGATTACAGTATTTGTTTTCCCTCCAGCCCTGAACTTTTTCTTTGCTGAACATAGGCCCACTGCAGGGCCAGAATATGCAGAGGGGAGATGTGTGACCTTACCCAGTCCCCAGCCTAGAGGGATGTGAAGAGGAGCACAAAGTAGGCTGGGGGCAAATACTTATTTTTTATGAATCCTGAATGACAGAATTAAGTCAGGGGGAAAAGTTTAAATGGTATGGTTTCAAGAGAAAAGTAACCATGACTGCTCTTTGCCAGGATTGAATCTGCTCTGTTCCCTGCAGGAGGGGTAGAAATCATTCTGTCCCATTCATGGATCCCAGAGAGCTCACTGGAAAAGTGCTGGTGTGCAGTTTTGGGTTTAGGCACTTTATTCATCCTTTTTCTGGAGCTGGCCTGCTACAAGCTTTGCTGACTCAGAACCACGCTGATCAGAGGTTCAGTTCTGATGACAAACATCTGTGGGCTTGTTGTTTTAATTTCTTACCAATGATGTGCACAAATAATCTTTTTAAATGATCATTAAAAGAAAACTGGCTGAGAATGAGTTTAAGGAACAGAGTGGTAAAGCCACTGTTACAGTTTTGCTTTACAGATTTACTGTTACCAGCTCTTCCACTGTATTAAGTATTTACTTTACCACAGATGATTCATGCGTGCATTTAAGGATTAAGAATCAAACAAGAGGAGGCTCTAATGAATAGATTATAAAATCCAAAGGATGGAATTTGCTTCAGCTGCAAAATGCTTGTGTAACTAGGTTTACCATTGGACAGTGTAAGCAAGGAAAGGAAGATGATATTCAGGAACCCCAGACCAAGGAGCACCAGGCATAATCCTCTGAAGGCCTCTGTTTACACCACGTCTGCACTACAGCACAGGTTTGTGATTTACCTAATCCCAACTCTCACCCTTTCTGAGGTCTGGCCCCTAAATCTTTTCTTGTTAACCTGTTTGAACTCTGTATATGGAAAATCCTGATGTCCAGCCAAGCACGGTCCTACTGCTGAAGTCAGTGTGGCAGAACAGGGATCATTTCTGCCTATGTGGGAATTTAAAATAGCACAAGCTCAGCAATTCGCTGTCATAGGTCAAGAACAAATTTGTAGTGGGTAACAGCTCTTGCTTGCTGGTAGACTGTTAAGTCTGTTTTCCAGTCTCAAACTGCTCTCTTCCTCCCAGATGCTTTTTCAAAATTAATGTGGTTCTTCATATATGTTAAGATTAAATGAATACATAATTCTCTGCTTTATGTGCATTGAGCATACTAAAATAATTCATAAAACTGTTCTGTGAATGGCAAAGCAGTCCAAAGGACTGTTCCAGTAGTTACAGCTGCTGCTCACAACGTGGAAGTTGCTGCCACAATGCCTGCAGGAAATGAAATATTCTCTAACTTCGGAAGGATTGTGGCAGATTGTTTTACCAAAGCAAACAAGTCCATTCCTATGAAGAGCGACGGCCTAAGAGCTTGTCGGTAGATGGCACTGGAGCAGCATGGGAGGTATCCGTAGGGAAAAACTTAGTGAGACCTCTCCCGTTTCATTCGTGTAATAACAGCCCCTCATGCTGCTCTTTCCTCGTGGGCTCTATCCGAAGGCTGTGCATGTCGTGTTAGACCTCACAGTGTTACGGAACAGCTCGGCAAAAATGCATGAGAATACTACGAAGTCCTCTTCCCGAAGCAGATAAGAGTGACAAACATCAGAATTCACAAAAAATACACCTGGACGCTACAGCTGGCAAACAAGATGATCTCTCCACAAAAGCACGGAGCATGTATCCTACAACATTTTTACAAGACCAATAGGAGCAGAATTATTTTAAGATTTACACTACCCTTGCAGTCCCCCTCAGGTGCTGTGACTGTTATACTCAGCTTGCATTTGTGCAATGCCTAGAGTTCATCTTCCTCTTTGACCAAACTTTGTTACACACACTCCCCACAAATGAGACCTATATGGCCCCTCCTGGGATTCCTGCATAACTTTATTTTTGTTTAACTCAAGTCTGCCACTTTTACCCCAAGCAGGGGTGAAATAAAAGGCCACTCACTATCCCATGCATTGTTAGCCATGATACTTGTGGCTTCTGCCAACAGTAGTTAGAAAGCAGCATTTAAGCCAAGCCTCAGCTTGGCTCACAGACCTTGGACTAACTCGGCGTAACGACAGCTGCCCAAGGGCTGCTGGAAGCATGGAAGTCTGGAACAAAGCCTCCAACATCAGTTCTGCTGATGCTTAAGCCTTGGGGGCAACTAAAAGAAAGTTGGACTCTTCACAGACTTGTGTAGGTGTTTACAGCTCTCTTCAGATCCTCCTCCCTTGTCTGAGCAGGGAGATAAGTCAGAAGGACTCTTCCCACTCTCAGCTGGGGGGCTGCTGTCTCCACCCCTGTGATATGACTGACTGTGCAAACCATTCTGGTTGATCTCAATGTAAAACACAGCTCAGCACTTTATCTTTTATAGAAAGCACTGTAATTTCAACAAGCCACTCTGGCAATTTAAATACTTCTTAGTTGTGTCTTTATTGTGTCTATCTGACTTTACTCATTACTTCCACAAAAGCTTATGAAATAAGGACCTAACTTTACAGACTGGAGTTTTATTCTCAAATGAGAGCAGAAGGTTCCCATGAAGTGCATAGGAACTACTTGTATCCCTATCAATGCCTTCTCATTTTCACCTGGATCCTGTTGCCACTTCAGAGAGGAGATACAGAAAGCAACTGCAGACATCTGCTGGATCTCTAACAGATTTCCTGTTACATGTATGTTTGACACACAGTGTCTCCAGAATTTCTCAGCTGTCCTATTTATGTTCTTCAAATTAGAGAAAAATAAAAAAAAAAGTAAAACCCCATCATTATTGACTACCAGGGATTTTATTAATAATAAAAAGAACAAAAAGCTTTTAAAAATCAATCCAGCAAGTGTGCTACTGAACACCTTGGGAGAACTGAAACTCAAACCAGTGCTTTTCAGTGTAAGAGCTGCTGCTAACACTTGCACATAAGCCACACGACCCATCTGTTCAGTGATTTTGAAATGCACTGTGCAAGCTGTATTTTACACAGGCTTGCAGTAAGGAGAGCTGATCTCATCCTAAGTCATAAACTAAACAGAATCAGGCCTCATCTATTTGTGGAAATAAGATTTAAAAGAAAACCCAATGTTGGGCTCACCAGCTCTAGAATAATGAATCTGTTCACCAAATCTCTTTTTTTATTATTTGAACAAAATATCCTGTTTTCTTTCAACAGGAGGTCACTGGTAAACAGGTGGGACCAGGGGAATGCTCTGCAGCTCAGGTATGTTTATTGCAGCAGAGCAGCTTTGAGGACAGGGCAGGGTGAGAAAGCACTGTGCAGCCAGTTAAGCTGGCCAGCCTCTCCTGGCATCCATGGCAGCAGAGCAGAAGAGATGCCAGAGCAATGCCACTGAAAAACACAGAGGCCTAACTCTGGGAAACAGCTAGAGCAGAGCCAGATCCAAGAGGCTAATGCTTAGCATGTGAGTTCTGAGGAGACACTGAGGAGTCTGAGGGGGCTTTTTTTTTTATTGTTGTTTTATTGGCTGGACTAGAGTTGTTTGTCTTTTAGAAAAATGCTTTTAAGAATCACCTTGTGCCAGCTTTAATTTTTTAGGCATAGACTGGAATTTATGCCTCCATGTAAGCTTATTGTTGATTATTTATTTTGCAACCCCATGAGCAGGACAAATACAGTTTCAGATTTATTCCTTTGGAGTTACTAGTAGGAGAAAAGTGCTTAATTTGTTAATGATCAAGACTGCTCAATTAAATTCCAAAAGGTTTTGGTAGCAGGGGAGGATTGTAGGGCTGGCTCCTCTAGAAGCTTCTCCTATGTCCAACAGAGCCAGTGCCAGCCAGCTCCAGGATGGACCCAACTCTGGCAAATGCTGAACCCATCAGTGATTGTTGTAGTACCTCTTCCTTTTAGAAATTTTTAAAAAGCTATTGTACAGAAGTAATTGTGGCCAGAGAGGAGTGAGAATATGTGAGAGAAACAACTCTGCAGACACCAAGGTCAGTGAAGAATAAGGGACAGGAGGTGCTCCAGACACCAGAGCTGGTATTCCCCTGCAGCCCATGGTGAAGATCATGGTGAGGCAGCTGTGCCCCTGCAGCCCATGGAGGAGCCTCAGGCTGGAGCAGGTGGATGCCTGAAAGGAGGCTGTGATGCCTAAGGAAAGCCCATGCTGGAGCAGGCTGTTGGCAGGACCTGCAGACCTATAGAGAGAGGAGTCATGCTGGAGCAGGTTTGGTGGCAGGACTTGTGACCCCATGGGGGATCGATGCAGGAGCAGCCTGTTCCCAGAGGACTGCATCCTGTGGAAAGGGGCCCACACTGGAGCAGTTCATGAAGATCTACAGCCCATGGGATGGACTCACATTGGAGAAGTTCATGAAGAACTGCATGAGAGGAACCCCACACTGGAGCAAGGGAAGGGACCCCTCTCCCTGAGCAGCAGTGGCAGAAACAACCTGTGATGACTGCAACCCCCATTCCCCACTGAGGGGGGAGGGAGGAGGTAGAGAATTGAGAATAAAGCCAAGACTGGTAAAGAGGGAGGGGTGGAGGAAAGGTGTTTTTAGGATTTGTTTTGCCCCTCATTATCCTGCTCTGATTTTGATTGGTAATAAATCCAACTAATTTCCCTAAGTCAAGTCTGTTTTGCCCATGACAGTAATCAGTGAGTGATCTCTCCCCATCCTTATCTAAACTCACGAGTTTTCATTGCATTTTCTCTCCCCTGTACAGCTGTGCGTGAGAGTGACTGAGCAACTTTGGTGGGCACCTGGCATCCAGGTGGGGTCAAACTGCCACAAACATCAAAGAAGACATATAGGAAACAGAAGGAATATAAAACCTTGCATCTTCTAAAAAGCTTAGGAATTTGGCTACTCTAAATGAAAGGGAAATAAAAATCCAAAAAAACACAACAAACCTACTCCGATAGAGATGTGCCTCACAAATAAATTGGTATTAAAACAATATGGGGTCAGTTCTGTCAGCCATTATATTGCAGTCACCTCTAACATGAAATATGTAAGTAATTTAATCTTATGCAAACACAAATCAACATGGAAAGCAGAATGTTCTATCTAAGTGAAACGGCAGGGAGAAAACAGTTATCTGCAATGGAATTTGGCATGGACACAAATACTAATACCCCAGGCTCTTTTATGATAACAAAAGGTCTGCCACCCAGTTTTACATCAAGTTAAAAATAAGGCAGCTTTATGCCTGATAAAACTGTGCTGAGACATTACAGTTGGAGCCAGACTCGTCGCAGACTCACAGCACTGTGCACATTGAAGCACGCATCATTACAAAGTATCTCAAGTGAATACAAAGGGAAGACAAAGAGTAAAGCTGGAGGAACCAAAACTTGAACTGGACGTCCTAGATCTGAGACAATCTAGTCCTGTTCTGACTCAGACCTTGAAGCTCCCTAGTGAATGACTTTTCACCTTCAGTGGGTGCAGGGTAAGAAGTTTCTTTCAGCCAACTGACCAGGACAGCAGAGCACATCAACACTGTGCTGCAATACCCTGTCCATTTGGAGCTCCTCAGCACAAAAAAAATCCCCCAAAACATGGACATACTGGAGTAGGCCCAGAAGAGGAAAATCAAGTTGTTTGGTGCAGGACAACATTATTCAAGGAGAGGCTCAGAGAACTGGGTCTCTTCAGTCTTAAAAAGAGAAGACGAAGGGGATGAATGTACTATTGCCTACCTCTACCTGTAGATCAGAAGCAGGACAATGGAGCCAGAGCCTTCTTGGAGGAGCATGGCAACAGGACAAGAAATGAAAAACCTCAAGTGGGAACAACTGAAATTCACATTATATACTAGGATTTTTTATTCATTGTTTGTTTACCATGACAGTGGTCAAACATTGGAACACTGTCCAGAAAGCGGTGGAATCACCATCTCTGGAGGTGCTCAAGGCCAGACTGGACAGAGCCCTGAGGAATACCTGTTTTGGGCAGATGTTGGATTGGATGACCTACGGACATTTCGTTCTGCATGGCAAGGTGTAGAGCAAAGAATGAAAGCATAAGAGGAAGTAAGAGCTACATATCCTTCACTATCTACCAGCATCACTGAGAATCTGGAGGCTGGCTGAGGCCTGTGGCTGCTGCTCACCAGTGAGGTAAAGCTCAGCCAGACACAACAGGCTAGGCAAGAATTACAGGAGCAGCTGTAGAGTCACTTACTCCAGCTAGAGATACATGTACACCTCTGCAACTCTGAGTCATTATGTAACTTGCTACCCACAAGTAACGTTTTTTACTCTTTTCATTTGAATAGAATTTTTTTCTTTCCTGGTCTGACCTCATCTATACTCCTCACACTTCCATTAGCTCTCAGCTATAACAAGGTTTCCACAGACAAAAAAGTTCTCAACACCTATGAGGCTCCAGCTAACAGAGAACAACCATTCACTGTAGTTCAGGAATCCTACTCTCCCTACAATACTTTTGCATAAAACTCTGCTGAAAATAATAACCAAGAGTTAGAATTCAAGGTGCTTCATAACCTGGATCATCTAGAAAACATCTAAAGCCTCATAACAAAGCCTACCTCTGTGCTTCTGCTCACTCTCATAATTAATTTCTACTCTCATGTGAAACACCAAACTTCCTTAGAAGCCAAAGCAAAGACTAAGAATTAAGTTCCCAGCAACTTAAAACCACTTGGACCTAAAGACAGAACCATGTTTCTTTGACCCTCCCTTCTCTAACATAAACACACAGGAGTACTGCATTATTAAAAATCAACAAAACCAAACATGCAGAGCAGTAACATGAAAACTCTTTCAAACTCTTTCAAAGCAAAACATCACCATGCTTTCCTTGGAAGAAAACGAGAGAACAAACAAACACATACATGGCAAATGTTACTCAGCTTGCAAAACAGATGATTAGAATAAGCTGAAATGCCGTGTGATAAGAATGCTTTAAGCAGCTCTACAGACTAGAGCTGCAGTCTACCTCTCTCTCTGCCTGGCCCAGAGTCTATCAGCTAGGCTATCACTTAAACGAGGCTTAAGGCTTAGGGAAAAACTTGCCAACTTGCCAGTGACTTAAAACATCCTAGGGTCCATTCCGGTGGTACAGAAACCTCAAACATTTCATGCAGGCAAACCCAGCACACTGAGCAGAGTCTGAAAACTTCCTCCTGCCAACACTACTTTGCCAGAATGGGATCTGTGTGCAAGAGTGTGGTATTATCACTGTGTGCAAAATTTTGTGATCCCTAAGCAAGTTATTTGGCCTGTCCGCTTCAGTTCCCTGCTGTAACAAGAGAACAGTATTACTTACCTCTTACTCTCTGCTCAGTTTATGAATATCAGTAACTAATGTTTGATACCAGTAAAGGCCAGAAGGCACGCTGGACTACGTGTTCAAAAAAAGAGAGTACCAAATGCCTCATAGCCCTATTTTTTCCCATAGGAAGTAATAAGCTGGCTGGACAAATGTTATAGAAGTTATTTATTTCCCATATGCATCCTGGACTACTTCATTCAGCACTGTAAGCAGGAAGGAGTTCTGGGAGCTCACCTGCAGTTTCAATGCAAGGGTATGGAGGAGGAGGTTTCTGCCATTTCCCATTTGCATCCTTCATATGAGATCTGTCTGAAGCAAATGTCTTCAAGTACAAATCTGCTCGAATCATTCTGATTTTTCTAAAAACAAAATGCAGAATCGTATTAAAAGATGCATGTACACAATACTGCAGTAATCACTCAGAATAAGAGCACTTTCCTCTCATCAATGAACACAAACCAGCAACGTTCGGCCAAGTTGTTAACACGAAGCTACTGTAGGAAAGAAAAAGGCTTTTGATGACTAAGGTAAAGAGCTTCAGAAAAGTGACACAGAGCATTTATTTTACTGGAGTATAGTAAAGAAACCTCTGTCACTATGCATGCACAAAGAGAACTTCAACTTCAACATCCATAGTCTTCATGTCATCACCTGTGAAACTCTGGACGAAGGCTGTCATCCAACCTAAAGGCCTCCACACTGTACACATCAAAAGGACATGGAAATGGCAACACTGTGTCAAGATCATAAATGAAGTTCTGCTCCCCGCTGGAAAGATGAAGTAGAATAACATGGTAGTCCTGGGAAGAAGGGGAACTTCCATTAGATCAACAGCAATTAATAAGAAACTGGCAAAGAGAGTGGAAAAAAAAAAGATCTTCCTAAAAGCATAAATTCAGATCCATTTTTTAAAGCCTGCTTGCTGTCCTTGAATATTAAGCCTGTAACATTTCTGGCACCAGGAGAGAGATTTCCTAATGTCTATTTTGCCCATCTGCTCTTCCAGAAACCTTGCTATTCTCCCCATTTCTTTGCAGCCTCCTTTGGTTTTAAGCCAAAACAGCAAACTAAAGTGTACACTACTCCTAAGAAAACAGAAAATCTCTCTCATGTTCCACACCAAAACACAAAAGTTTTTTGGTTAAGCATTTTTTATTAGACCCAGTCATAACTAAACTCACAAGATAAAATGATAGGTTAACATTAAATTTACCTAGTGATCTCTTCTAATAAGAGATTTTGTACCTGTTGCAGTAACACGGTCTGTGAATTTGAGTGTCGAGTGTTCAGCTGCCAGAAGCACCTGAAAAACCAGCACACCACTGAAAAACCAGCAAACAGCTCAGATCAGGAGGACCACAGGAGTGAGACATTTTCCTGTAGCAGCTCTTGGAGCTGGGAAAAATTATCTGTGGGTACTACATCACACTTTTTCAAGGCAACTATTTTATCAAGACTTTTGGGTTATTCAGTGCAGTTTTAATCCTTACCTTGTAAGAAACACAGGTGGAGGTTTGAGGATGCTGTAGTTACTGACATTATGTGTCACGTATGTGCACTGCTGTTTTCCAAAATTAAACTGAAGGTAGCCCTTAACAACTTAAATTCACATTGAATCCACTCACAAAAGGGGCTGAGCACTGTCTTTTGACACTTTCAATATTAAAACCACAAAGAATTTTGAATGAAAAATATTTGGGCAATCTACTTCCCAAACCAATATACATACACAACCGTATTCAACAGTATTTAGAAAAACCCATTAGAGAATGTAAGAAAAATTAGCTTACAAGCTTTATACAAGCTATGATCCACTGAAATGTCAGAGTTAAAAGACCTTTGAATCCATGAATTTTTTACGAGAAATCCTCATTCTGCCATTCCTGACTCTGCCGTTCTCTTTTAAGTCTTCTCTGTAGCACTTGGATCTCTTTTTATATCAAACCTTTTTTAAATTTTTTTTTTGTACAGTAAAGCTACCAATATTTTGGAAGAAAGTCAATGATTCAGAAATCAGAAAACTTCACAAGTTTCAGGTTACTCTGCAGAATTTCGGAAACAGAAATTGCCACAAGAAATATTTTTTTCTGTGCCAGGTAACTGAAAGGATTCTATAATGATACCAAGGAATTCTGCATCAGCAATTACTGAACTACATTAACTGATCAAAAGACACTTCAAAGCCACTGTTTATGGGTCAGTTTAACTGCTGGCACCTGAATGCACATATAACTTACACTTTTCTGTCATCTGACAGGCTTACATAAATATGTTCATCCATCTAGTTCTTACATGTACAGTCATCTACCCTCAGTACTACAGAGCTGGCAGCCTCAATACCCAGATAAAAATTTTCACAAACTTATTATGCGTTCTTACTATAATTAAGACTTATCACCTATAAGTTGCACTGACTGTCCTGCTATTAATTTACAAGGGATGGTGCAAAGGACCACCAGATTTAGGCTAATTATAAATCTGTTGTATAAGAATTATAAATATTAATGCAAAACTATGCATTGTATGAAGTTGGAAGGGACTTTAAAAGGTCATCTGGTCCAACCTGTTGCTCAATGAGACTCTCCTAAAGCCAACTGCCCAGGACTGTGTCTGGATAGCTTCTAAAAATCTCCAAAGATGGAGATTCCACAACCCTTGTGAGCAATCTGCTCCAGTGCTCCATCACCCTCAGAGCAGAAAGTGCTCCTTTACGTTCAGATGGAACAGATTGTTATATGCCCATGTGTGATCCTGCAGCTATCAACTACAGAGGCACACACTCAGAATTACTGGGAGTAATGAATGCCTTACCCAGACAACAGGCTCATCTCCATGTCCAGATTTCTGCTTCCAGAGTGGAATCTGAAAGTTATAAATTAACCTGAAGTGAACAAAATCTTTCAGATTAATACAGATTTATTTCATGCAAATTGTTAGTTCTTTGCTAACCTATCAATTTCCTCAGCTTACAGCTGTGCTGCAGTGAGAAAATTTTTTCTAGTTTTTCTCTCTCAGGAGCATGGAATTGGAGATACTATTCTGGGCCACATTAAAAAGAAGTGTGATGGAATCACCATCCCTGGAAACATCCAAAAGACTTGAGGACATGTTTTAGTGGTGAATATAGTGGTGTCAGGTTAACAGTTGGACTTGATGGTCTTAGAGGTCTTCTCCAACCTTACGGTTATTTATTAGTGGTTCTGTGATTTTATAAAGATAACTATTCTCCTAAATTGACAGATTACAGACAGAATTACTCCCACAGCTCACAGGGACACCATGTCTCATTCCACTGTCCTGAACACAGTGCATAATTAAAAGATCGCACGTGGTGTGGTTGGCACACCTCTGAGCCCAAGTGAGCTACAAGAGGGGTTTGGACTGTACCTCACCTACAGGCCGGGCTAAAGGCTCACTGCCCAACACTGGGCTGTGGTCGAAATCGCTAAGACCATTCTCACCTACACTGGGCTGCGGTCTGAAGGCCCGAGCCTTTCCACAGCTGCCTATGATCACATCCCATTGACTCACCATCCTCTTATCATTGGATATGAAAACAGCATAAAATTCTTCTAAAGGGTACCGATCCTGACTCCTGATGTAGTCACAAAGCTTCCAAACATTTTCTTCGCTGCAAAACACAAAATCAGTTATTTATTCTGTTTTCCTCCAACTTCATTTTTCGTGACGAGAAACGAGCCCAGGAGCGCGATCAGCCCGCAGCCGCGCCATTCCCGCCGGTGGCCCCGGCTGTCCCGACGCCTCACGGCGCTGCGAGAGGGCAGCGGCCCGTCCGTCCGTCACCCTTACCAGTAGCAGCTGGTGTAGGTGCAGGCGGGGCGGGGCGGCACCGCCGCCTCATAACCAGCCTCCGGCCGCGCCATGGCCGGTCTGAGCGGGGCTGAGGGCGGCGCAGGAAGCGCTGGGCCCGGCGGGAGCAGCCGCTATGCCGTCCCCGAGGAAACCGCGGCCATCCCGGCTCGGCGCGGGCACTTCGCGGGTACGGCCGGAGCGGCGGTGGGAGGTGCAGGGGCCCCTCAGGCGGGGCCGGACAGGACGAGGCGGGGCCGGACAGGACGAGGCGGGGCCGCCGAGCCAGCCCCGCGCCGCCGGCGCAGCGCTCCGAGTTTTCGGCGCCAAACGTCTGCGGCGCGGGGACCGCAGTGCGCCAGTGCCCTTCCGCCGCGCGGGCCCGGAGTAGCGGCCGCAGGGACGAGCGGAGCGGGAGGCAGCGCGGCGGAGGGATCCGGCTGGCGCGCACGGCCGGCGGGCGCGGGGCCGCGACCCTCTCGCCATGGTGGTCCTGCGGAGCAGCGCTGCCCGCCCGCCCCGCATGGCTGCCCGCGACAGCCGCTGTCGGCGGCCCCCCTTCGACCTCCTGGACTCCAGCTCCGAGTTCATTTCCCTGGAGTCCCCCGCGCTCAGAAGCCACCGCGTATGGACGCGCTCCGGGTCCGCCAGGGCCGCGGTATCCAGGGGCGCCAGGAGAGCCGAGGAGGCCGTGAGTGCCGGGTGGGGGTGGGGTGAGCGCGGCCTGGCAGGCAGCGCTGGGCTGTGGGCCCGGAGAGGCGGCGGGGGGAGCCGCTGCTGGCCGGGAGCTGCTGGGAGGAGCGGAGAAAGCGCTGGGGAGTGGTGTTCCGTGGAGGACAATAAAAAAGCGGAGAGCCGAGTGTTTGGGGCAAGCGGCTGCCGTCGGGGGTGTGTGAAGAAGCAGCCGGCCCGCCCTCCGTTCCCGGTCGCCCCCCGGCTGCTCCCTGGCTAAAAGGGGGCTCGGCACAAGCCCTGGTCTGGGGGCCGTGGCAGCGTGCTGAGAGCCGACCTTTGGGAATACAAACCTGCATCGCCTCATGGTTTGGTCTGTTGTATGTCATTCCCCATTCCCGTTTATTTTGGTTCAGGTCTTTATCTGAAAAAGTTACCTTGAGAAGATCTTAGAAAGCTCTTTGCTTTAGTTGCAGTAATGCTTATGGAGCACTCTCTGTTTAGATGACAGCAATGCATCAAAATCGGCGTGACACGAAATATATGGGACCTCTGAGGGCTTTCTGGTTGGCCCGAAGGGCCTGCTAAATACTTATTAGTCAATTGTATCCAAATAGTACTTTGGATGCTCTAAAAAAAGAAAATGTTTAGAAATCAGAGTTCATTTGTACTTAAAGTGCATAACCTAAACCGGTGAAAATGTTACTTGAGCTTTCTATAATCTTGATCTGCCCTACTAGAAGGGAGACAACTTGCACGATGGTAAAGAACAGATATCAAATGGCCTGTGCTCTCTGCATCTCAGCATTGTAACTGTAGTAACTGAATCATTTCACTTTCCATTGTTTTTAACATAGCTTTCGGAAAACCGAAACTTTCCTCTGCTGTTTCCAAGTCAGGCTCTACTCTGCAGGCTGTCCTGCATTTCTGTGACAAATAAAGGCAGGCCAGATCCTACTCAGAAGTGGTCTGCTCTTCAGGGAAGCCCTGCCTTGGAGTGATGCTTCTCAAAGACTCTGTTTCCTTCCAGCAGAAGTCTTTCAGGAGTCTCAGTTGTATGAATTAATTTGGAGTGACGCTTCTCAAAGACTCTGTTTCCTTCCAGCAGTCTCAGTTGTATGAATTAATGTTATGTTTTTATATTTTGTGCCATTATATTCCAGATTACTGAACTAAAAAGGGAAAAGTCCTTGTAGTGGTGGGTTTTTTTACCCCTCTTGCAAAGAGTCATGGAATATTCTTAAAGATCACTGCTTTGTTTTTGCAGTCTCCACTAGAAATGGTTGTTGGGGGCTCGTTCAGCCTTTGCACAGGAGGGAAGGCTGTGCAGCATTAGGCAGATAACCCTGCTGGCATGTGTTCTCAGTGTGGAAAACAGGAATGAGGAAGCTAAATGTAAAGTCATCCCTGAAACCAAAGCAGAATCATTGTTATGAAACTGGTTGCAAGGTTGTTCTTTGGTTTGGGCTTGTTTGTTTTCTGAGGGTTTTTTCCCTTCCTTTTTGTGGACCTTTCCTGTGCTTTGAGCATGAAGCCATCCCCTCATTTGTAGGATGCTGGGCTCTGCTGGGAGTTTTAACTGTAGAGATAATGTAGAAGTGCTCCATCTGCCAGAGATCATGGAACTGGTGCTAGCTTCGTGTCCAAGTCCTGATGCCTCTTTCCTGTCTTGTTGATTTGCAAGGACATGGTGGTGGCAGCTTTTGTGTTTTTTTCTGATAGCAGCATATGGTGTGTATTTAGTTATACAGCTCATTTCATCCACAGACAGTAAGAACCATACAACAGGAGATCTAAGGTAAACAAACATTTGTTGGGTTTCTTCTCTTCCGGGTTTCCAGTCCCAGTAAGTTTCATGAGCGAGTCTCCCAGTGAGATCCAAAGTGGCTGCTATCCCTTTGGAAGCTGTGCATCTCCAGGTCTATAACCCTAGTTATAGGGTTATAATTCCCAAAGCTGACCAAGTTTGTTCTTGTCACCTGTATTTGAGGGCAGTGTGCTTCAGAGTTCCCTTTTTGTCTGGGCATTCTGACCTGCGTCAGAAACAATGTGGCCAGCAAGACCATGGCAGTGATTGTGGTGCTTAGCAATGGTGACACCACACCTTGAATCCTGTGTCTAGTTCTGGCCTCTCATAACAAGAAAGACATTGAGGTGTTAGAATGTGTCCTGAGAAAGACAGAAGAGCTGGGAAAGGTCTAGAAAGTAAGTAATATGAGTAGCAGATGAGAGAGCTGGGGGTGTTTAACGTGGAGAAAAGGAGACTCAGGGAAGACCTTATCACCCTCATACAGCTACCTGAAATCAGGTTGTTTGCGATCATCCTCTTCTCTCAGGTAACCTGTGACAGGCCAAGAGGACTTAGCCTCTGGCTGCACCAGGGAAGGTTCAGGTTGGACATCAGGAAGAAATTTTTCACAAAAAGGATGGTTAAGTCTTGGAACGGGCTGCGCAGGGAAGTGTGGATCACCACCCCTGGAAGTGTTCAAGAAATAACTGGATGCGGCACTTAGTGCTGTGGTTTTGTTCACAAAGTGATGATCATTCAAAGGCTGGACTCAGTCTTGGAGGTCTTTTCCGGCCTTAATGATTCTAAGAAAGTGAGTTGGCAATCTCCTCTGCCATCTCCCTCTGTACCCTTGCGTGGGATCCCATCGGGGCCTGTAGAAGTGTGGGTGTCCAAGTGGTGTAGCAGGTCACCGACTGTTTCCTCCTGGGTTACAGGGGCTTCATTCTGCTCTCTGTCCCTGTCTGGGTACCATGAGGGCTGCTGGTCTTACTCTTCAAAACTCAGGCAAAGTACTTCTGCCTTTCCCTCATCCATTGTCATATGTTTGCCTGTGCATCAAGTGAAGGATGGAGATTATCTTTAGTCTTCCTTTTCTTGCTGATGTATTTGTAAAAATGTTTTGTGTCATCTTTTAGGGCAGTAGTCAGATTAAATTCTGTTTGGGCTGTACTCTGTAATTTTCTCCCTGCATAACCTATCAACATCCTTGTGGTCGTTCTTCACTCATCATCTCCATCAATCAGTGGAATTACCTCTTGGTAACATTAGTGTGAAGAAGTAGAATAATCCGGTCTGGTTTCTGCCCTTTTCAGTATGAGATTTATTTTGGCATACTCGCAATGAGACCTTGGGTTGTAAATGGAACAAGCTGCTTCCCATGGTCATCGCAGCTTTCCTCAGACAGTAAAAGTCAATAGCATCTTCCTTGCAGAAACACCAGTGTGAATAAGATGAAATCCATGAAGAACTGTATCCTGAGTTCCCTTTGGTTTTCTGTGGATAAATGCAACCCTCTGGAAGGAAGTCTTTTTATATCCCTCTGAATGCCATTATAAATGGAATAGAGATAGGAGGAAAACTCTTCCAAAAAGATTTTAATCCCAGTACTAGGATTTTTTTAATTGCATTAAAGATATAGAAATCTAGCAGAAAATGAACCCCCTTAGGTTCCAGCTGCTCCTCAGAGTTCAGAAGAGCTGTGTGCAGCTGGGCCTAAGTTCTGGTTATATCCCATTGGACACTGTCTGCCTGGCTGAGTTCAACAGGAGCTTACAGGATCCAGATTCACAAATAGTGAGGGTAATTGAAGCGATGGGAAAGCAGATTCTGAATTGCTGGTGGTAAATCACCAGCTACAGAGTGTCAATATGTGCTGTTACAGAAGGAATAATGACAGAAATCTTTTAGCAACTGATCTAAGTAAATATTCCGAGGTCTGTTGCAAGACAGTTGGGAAGCACAAACCTCACCTAAAGGTGTCCCTTCAGGGACAAGGACTGACACAGTCCATCAGCTGATCCAAAGCAAGCAGAGGGGCTTTCCTCTCTCTATTGTTTTGCTTGTTTGGTTGGTTGTCCTTTTGTGGGTTTTTTGCCCCAAACCCTTCCTTTTGTAGTGTAATTTTTGGCTTTTCCCTAAGGGGTGGAACAATTGCACGTTATAGGCGAGATTTTGGTTACTGGGGTCACTGAACCAATTTTGAAATACAAGATTTTGGGTTTTTTTCTTTGAAATCTGAAGTGGTTTTTTCATCAGAGCTACTTCTTGGTGCAGAAGTGGTTCGAGGTTTCCCTGCCATTAGTTGCAACTCTCTTGAATCAGGAGTGTAACAGACTAAACTTGATCAAATGAGGCAATAGGTGGTTCAGATAAATACGTTCTTCCTTCTTTTCCTAGAAATTTTCTTCTGGCAACATTGAATGTTTCAATGGACAACCTTTAAGATCGATGAGAAAAAACATGCCGCGCTGTTCACAGTCTAGCTTTGACAAAAGCATGGAAATATTAAGTGAAAATGTCAATCGACACTTTTCGAGGTATTGTACTTCTAGGTGTTCAACCTCTATTTAAGGCATAGAATAAAAAGCAAAAGTGAAAGCATGCACAGTGAGTCACATCATGATAAATCTACAGCTAAAAACCCACAACTGGCATATGAACTATGTTAATATGCCAGTGTC